AATGTCAGTAAATAAATACATTAATGATTTCCAAATTCCAAGTATTGCAGCAAATATATATATATAAACGTCGAGGAACTTAATTTATGTACACAAAATTCTGATGCAAAATTCCGAATTTTTAATATGAACATAAAGAGTATAAAACACAACATTGATTACTTAAAAATACTACTCGACCAAATATGGTACAATTTTGATTTAATAGTTTTAACTGAAACGTGGCAAGTGGCTGATATTTCTTGCTTCAATCAGCAGGGATATGACACGCTGTATAACTTTGGCACTTATAACCAAAACGATGGGGTGATAGTTTTTGTAAGAAATAAACTGCAATATAATCATGATACATTCACTTTCACCGATGGAATCAAAATTTTAAACATAATGATCCAAATTAACCATAACAAAATTGAGGTATCTGCAATTTATCGTCCGCCATGTTCAGAACCCCACGAGTTTTTAAAGAATATCGAATTTTTTTTTTCATAATCAAAATAAAGTTCATTTAAAGCAACATATTTTCTTGGGAGATGTCAATATAAATATTTTGGACGATGATCCCATCACAAATGAATACTTGAATATCTTATCAAGTAACGGATTTCTGTCCTATATAAACCTACCTACAAGGTCCATCAGTGGCACATGTATAGATCACTGCTTTATGAAAGACCTATCCAACAAAATTACTTGTATACCAATAATCCTAGAAAGCGATATTACTGACCACTTCTCCACTATTTTACTGATATCTTCAAATGAAAAACATTCTAACATCCCTACCGTTAGTAACAACCAGGAAAATTACAAATCTTTTGTCGACAATTCAAAACTAATATCTAATGTCAAACAAGAATCCTGGGAACAATTATACTCTATAAATAATATAGACAAAGCAACGGGACTGTTCATAGAGAAAATAAAAAAACTAATAGATATTAGTACCAATAAAGTAATAATTAGTCACAAAGAGAAAAGCAGAAATGCCTGGATTACCAAAGGACTAATAACATCGGCAATAGAAAAAGAAAGACTATATACTGTAATGAAACTAACGCCAACTACAGAGAATACCGACTGCTACAACCAATATAAAAATAAATTTATAGAGCTTGTAAGGCAAACCAAACGAAAACATTACCTAAATAAATTGAATAATAACTTAAATGATCCTAAGCGGCTTTGGACAACTATTGATGAGATTACTGGGAAAACAAAAGTTAAAGAGTGTGTCACTGAGTTAAATACAACATCGGGAACAGTATTAAAAAATACTCAACAGATATGCGATGAATTTGTACAATTCTTTACTGACATAGGCGAAAATTTAGCAAGTAATATACAAGCAAATATACAAAATACTCAGCCTCCAAAAAGAACTTTGAACTCATTTATTTTGGATAAAGTCGAGCAATGTGAAGTATACACCACTGTTATGTCCTTAAAAAATCGGAAAAGTCCTGGGTTCGATGGTATTAAAAGCGAGCATTTGAAAATTATAGCCGAGGACATAACAGAACCACTCACTTACCTAATCAACAAATGCTTTGAATCTGGCATATATCCCTCAATTTTAAAAAAGGTAATATAATAACGATACATAAATCAGGAACAAAAACAGATGTTAACAACTATAGACCAATATCAATAATATCCAGTGTAGCAAAGGTTTTTAAAAAAGTTTTATCTACTAAAATGATTCGATACCTCACAAAATTCAAAATTTTAAGTGAAAATCAATATGGATTTACAGAAGGGAAGGCTACATCGGACGCAATAACTAAAATTGTAAATCAAATACATCAAAATATTGATAACAGAATCCCTTCAATCTGCATTTTTGTTGATTTAAAGAAAGCTTTCGACACAGTTAATCACAAATTATTATTAGAAGCATTGGAGAGAATTGGTTTCAGAGGAAACGCGTACTCACTGATCGAAAGTTATTTGTCAAATCGCCCACAATCTGTGCAGATATCAGGATCATTTAGTAAAGAAATGTATATTAAGTGTGGTGTCCCACAAGGAACTGTCTTAGGTCCGCTGTTATTCAATATATATTTAAATGATATTTTCCAAATTAATTGTGTTGGCAAAATAACTAGTTTTGCAGATGATACTGCAATATTATATGAAGGCACTGACTGGTCTAATCTGAAAAATGTAATTGAAAATGATTTTATCAGAATTATTCGGTGGTTTAACAGTAGAAAATTAAGCATTAACTACTCTAAAACACATTTTTTACCATTTGGATCTTATGCTAGACATCTGCCAAATTACACAAATTTCTCCTTCAATATTAATGATCAAAAAATGCAAATTAATAGAGTGCCCAACATAAAATACCTTGGAGTGGTCTTGGATCCTCACTTACGATGGGACATCCATGTCAATTATATTTTAAAGAAAGTTAGATTTGTATCCTACAAAATTAAATACCTTGGGAATATACTGACAGAAAAATATCTTCGAACATTATACCATGCACTGATTGAGCCTCATCTCACATATGGTATATTAGCATGGGGAGCTGCATGTTCCTCACATATCTATAATTTAGATGTTTTTCAAAAAAGTATTCTAAAAATGATATTTAAAAAAACGAAACTTTATCCCACTGAAAAATTATACGCAGATGTTCGAATGTATGATATAAGACAGCTTTATTTCTTACACAGTATCACTCACTAACATAAATTTGTAAACACCGACCAAAAAATTAAACATAATCATTATACCAGGTACAAAATTCGTGGCACAGTAGTTCCTCAACCGCATAAATCTATAATGCAGCGATCATATCTCTATTTAGCGCCTAAATTTTATGAAATTATACCTAAAGACTTAAAAGATGTACGTTTCGGAAATTGTTTCAAAAGAATTTAAAAAAGTGGCTACATTCTATATCTAGGACTGAAATTCATAAACTCATAAATACGAACATCAACTAAATACATAATCTACTGTAGCTAATTTTTGTCCTTTTTTGTCATTTGCATTCTACAGTTTCAACTTAAATTTATTGGTCCATGTACAGGCGATACCTTCTATTGGGCCTGTTTTGATTTTATATTTATTTACTCATATTGTTTGTTATCTTTGTACATTGAGTGAATAAATATTATTATTATTATTATTATTATTATTATTTACATCTAAAATGCTATTGGATAGTTAGGACAAACATACAAAATCTAAAGTAGTAGTAGTAAAGTGCTCGAAATGTAAACCCAATTGTTCAATACACAATTCACATCTACGAATGATCGTGGTATAGCATTATTCAAATAAGGCCTTATTTCATCACATGCATTCCTTACTCTGTCTATTAGCATATCTCTTGTGGTTACGGGAGTCTGGTACACTTTTTCTTTTAGAAATCTCCACACAAAGAAATCTAATGGATTTAGGTCAGGGGATAGTGGAGGCCAGGCGACTGGTCCTCCACGCCCGATCCATCTTTCTGGATAATTTTCGTTCAGCCAGTTTCTAACTATTCTCGAATAATGAGCTGGACAACCATCAAGCTGGAACCAGGCCAATCTTCTTAAATCTAACATAACATCATCCCACATATTTGCATGTTCAGCCTTTAAAAATTCCAAGAAGGTCGCAGCATTTAACCTTGCAGGCAAAAGGTAGGGCCCAAATAGTCGATTACGGTAGATACCAATCCACACGTTCACACTAAATTCATGCTGAAAATTTCTTTCCCGAACTGCATGCGGATTTTCAAGCGACCAAATATGTTGATTATGAAAATTTACCACTCCACGTCTAGTGAAGCATGACTCATCGGTCCATAAAACGTTTCCATATTATTATCAGTTCTATCAAGAATCCACTGACAAATTGTGATTCTTCGTTCTCCGTCTCCTGGCTGTAGTCCTTGCACAGGTTGCAAATGGTAAGGACGTCTATGGTCATTTCTAAGAACACGGTGAACATGACTTGCTGAAATCCCAAGGCACCAGAAACTCTCCTAACACTTGTGGTCGGATCTCTATCAAACTCACGCAGAATCATACGAGTAAATCTGCGCTGACGAACGTTTATGTTTTGATCCCGTTGGAGATTTTCAAAACCATTTTCAATTATTTGGCGATGCACTCTTACAAATACTGAGCGAGTTGGATGTCGTCTGTTTAGAAATTTTCGTGCGTATTCTCTGGCTGCTTCTGCTGAGTTTCCATTTACAAATCCATACACAAAATGAATATCCGCTGACTCTTGATTGGAGAATAAAAATGGCATTTTTATAAAACTTACAAAAAAAAAACAGGTAAAAGAAACTAAATTTCGTGCATTCACAATTGCAAAAAAACGTTTCAGGTTTCAACAGACAACAAAACTAACTGTCAACTAATTGACGTTTAACCTTATTCTGCTTTCAATTTCAAAAATATTTGCAGGCACAGCCTACTTCTAAAAATTATCGAGATACTGACTGTTTAACGTTATTTTATCATGAATAATTAAAAATGCATCGAACCTTAAAAATCGAAATATCTCAAAAACGGCTAACTATAACGAAAATTCACAAGAGAGCTTTTTTATGTTGAAAAGTGCGAAGAATCAGTTTTTTTATTCAAAAAGCAAAAAATTGTACTAAGAAAAAATTTTCGGTCATTTTAATACACTACACTAAAAAGTGGATGCACACGAATCTTCACTATGCACCTATGCATTGCCGTTTCCTTCTAGCTATAATATACAAGTTATAGCTTATATCTCCAGTAATGCCATCCCTGAAGCAGATTTTACATTACATCAGAGCCAAACATTGATTACTGAAGCATCATGAAGTTTAGGCAACACGTACAACTACAAAACGAGTTCACAACGTATCCATCAGCTAGTGCTAAGTTAACATCTCGTAGAAAAACCCACATAATGTCACAAAAAACAAATACAATGTCAAAAAATCGACATAACGTCACTTTTCTAGATACGTAATACCCGTGTCCCGCAAAAAATAATCGGCGAAAGCGAAACACGTTTTATAATTTATTTATCTACAATCAGGACATAGTTTCTCACTATACTTGTCAGTTACATTATATTCACTAGCTTGTGTTTTTGTGTCGCTACCATCCCTAGAGCAATCGTTAGACTTGCTTGATGCACTACTGTTTGGCTCAAGGTCATACAAACATTCAGGATCAAACCTGTTGTAATACTCTGACTCTTCATCGAGCCTCATGTCACCCTGAGCCATTTCCGTATAGTGCCTGTCATAAGCTGTCAAAAGCGGGAAGTGTTTTCTGGCTAAAGCATGTTTGTTGAAAACGTGATTTACGAATTCTTCTTCGTAAACGTCCTCTAACTTGCCTACTCTTAGGTGGGCGCCGGCTTCTTCCGAGGTGAGCAAAATGCAGTTCCACGGGGACCATTCTCTGGTCACGTCCCATCTGAAAATGTATGACTCGTTTATTCAACTTATTGCACAAAGTTAGTCGCAAAGTAAACAGGACAAAGAAAAAAATGAACAAACATTTTTTGCTTCTGAAAATAGAATTTATTCAAAATATCAGGAGATTTTCGAACGATGGTAGTCGACGTCTTTTGTATGGCCGCTACGTCGGCATACCGCTGTCGCTTCATGGCTAAATGTAGTTTACCGAACAGAAAATAGTCACACGGTGCCATATCAGGAGAATATCGGGAGTGGTTGACGGTTAAAATGACATTTTTTGTCAAAAAATCGGACACAAATCTCGTTTCGGCAACTCTACCCTATGCTATGTAGAACATCAAAATTAAGTTTGATCAACAAAGTTCGGCTATACAAGATGGTTATTAGACCAGCGGTCATTTACGCAAGTGCGGCTTGGTGTTTTCTTGCCAAAACGCATTTGCGTAGCCTGCAGGTTTTGCAGAACAGAACCTTGCGTACAATCACTGATGCCCCATGGTATGTTTCCAACGAGACCCTTCACAGAGACCTTGACATCCCTTACCTAAGGGACTACATCAAACAACAAGCGCAGCTACATTACAGTCAAGCGGAATCGCATAACAACCCTTTGTTGCGGGAGTCAGTAGACGACACAGTCGAGCAAGTTCGCAAGCACACAAGTCCGCGACTCGCACAGTGAACAAAATTAAATCGTGCGACTTTAGATCCAACCAAAGTTATAATTTTTCTTCAACAACCAATCCCAAAATTAATTTTAGGATCAATTTAAGATTGTCGAATACTAATTAGCAATGCCAAGGCACCCCTCAAATTGACGCACTTCTTTTTTCTTTGCTCTCCCTCCTTCCTTCCTTTCTTCTTCCCTTCTTTCTCCCTGACTTTGTTTGGTATCTGGGCAACCAGACCTGACAGACCTACTGACTTACAAGACTTCAACCAAGAGCAAAGGTCCTACGGACCGCTCCGAGAGACAATGACGAATAGTACCAAGATAAAGCAGGTCCAGTGGAATGAATTTTTGTGAATAATTCCCTTCGGACTTTTTGGATTTGGCTCACTTGGATGCTTCCATTCGGCACTTTGACGCTTCGTTTCGTGATCGTATTGAAAACACCACATTTTGTCACCAGTCACAATGTTGTACAGAAAGTTTTTGTCTTTTTTCGCCTCTTTAATGATGTCTCTCGAATGTTGAATTCGAAGCAATTTTTGGTCATCCGTGAGCCTATGCGGAACAAACCGTGAACTCACTCATGTCCAAATTCTTGGTCAAATGTGATGGATTGAATCGTTAGAGGTACTTCTATGTATCTCAATGAAGATTTTGGATCATTTTTGATAAACTCACGCACTTTTTCGACAGTTTCTGGCGTAATCACTAATTTTGGCTGGCGAACATGTTCTTCGTCCTGCGACTCACGACCCTCTTTCGACAAGTGTAAACCACTCGCGGACTCGGCTACGAGATAATCATTCATCATCAACCAACGGCCACTTTAGGTCTATTTAACATCACTAACACGTAAAAAGAAGGTGATAGACAAGGACCAGTCGACCGAGGCAGTACCACCCGCTAGCTTTTCCAAGGGTGTCTTATAAATGGCCGCATGTTTCCACACCTAAGCTATGCAGTCGGTTATCCTCCAAAACAAAGAAATTAATGATGATGGATCCCTCGAGCATTAAGAACTCCGGACGTAAACTCACTCCACTCTCGGAATGTCCGGGTGGAGGGTGGGCTCGACGGAACAACATCGAAGATAAAATTTGTTTTTCGAACATCTGCGGGATTAACAGCAACATTGATGCTGTCCATCACTACCTGCAATCCAATCGTCCCGTCGTGCTTTTCTTGGCGGAGACAAAAATCTCCGAGTCTGCACCGATTAACCATACTAACTTCCCTAACAACGAGGTGCACTTCAATCTGAGAAAGAACGGAGGAGTTGTGGCTTTTGTCCGCAGCAGTCTTACCTGCTCCAGAGATGTTTCTTTGGAATCAGACCGGAAGGACATTCTGTGGCTTCGCCTCAACTCCAAAACATCATCCAAGTTTATTTGCTGCGTTTATCGCTCGCCCTCGGACCATAACTGGGATGACCTACTCGAATACCTCGCCATCCAGATCGACTTCCTGAACATCAATCATCCCGCTTCAGAGGTAGTTCTTCTCGGTGATTTCAATGCCCATAACGAGCTTTGGTTGGGCTCAAACAAGACCGATGCAGCAGGTCGTGCAGTCGCAGCGTTCGCTCTTACCCAAGGGCTGACTCAGCTGGTTACGAGTCCCACTTTTTTCCCCGCGTCTCGTCACACGCCAGTAGCCTGATGGATCTCTTTCTGACCACGCATCCTAGCCCTTACAGCACTGCTGTCCTGTCCCCCCTGGGTAACTCAGACCACGGTGTTGTGGAGGTTAGAACCCGCTGTGGCAGCAGAAACTCGTATAGGCCGCAAAACTTGGCATTACGGACATGCCGACTGGGAGGGGCTCAGATTTCTTCTCTAGATTTCCTTGGAAAGATGTCAGTTTACTGACGCGGATGCGTCGGCTGTCTGTTCTTCGATAACCGAAATTATCCACGTCGGAATGGAGGAATACATCCCACACACAGTGAAAGTGCCTAGACCAGGGTCCAACGGCTGGTTTAACAAATCGTGTGACGCTGCTTGTCAGCAGAAGATCAAGGCACACAGAACCTTCTTACAAAACCCCACTGCAGAGAACAGACAAGCCGACGTTGAGTCCAGAAGCAAATATAAAGCAGCGGTTCGCAATGCCAAAAACCAGCATGATATAAAAGTTAGGCACAGGGTAATGTCGCAACGCAATGGCAGTCGGCCTTTCTGGACGCTGGCCAAGCAGATTGAAAATAACTTCTCACACAGTAGCCTTCCACCACTTTCGTGTCAGGATGGAACTATTGTATTCAACTCAAAGGCCAATGCGGAAGTGCTAGCCAAGATCTTTGCTGCCATCTCCACCATGGACGTCCCCCGCAACACCCAAGTGCCGTCAATTCAAAGGGTTCCCTACACTATACGGGTGGTAAAATTCAGGCATAAGACCGTAAGACGAGTGCTCTTGTCGCTCGACATCAACAAAGCTTCTGGTCCGGACTTGATTCCTGCCATTGTACTGAAGAGGTGTGCACCGGAGCTTGCTCCAGTTCTTTCGCGTCTCTTCCAGATATCTTATGAATCCGGCACCTTCCCAGAAAACTGGAAATTTGCTCATGTCCAACCCATCCCAAAAAAGGGATCTAAGACCTACCCTTACAACTACAGGCCTATAGCTCTGCTTTCTGTTATAAGTAAGGTGATGGTGCATAAATCGCGAGCTTCTGGACTACCTCGAACGTCACAGCTTGATTAGCGACAGGCCGTATGGTTTCCGGCACCAACGATCCACAGGGAACCTCCTAGCTTACGTCACCCAATTGTGGAGTAAGCTCATCTAGTCTTATGGTGAGGCTCAGGGCGTTCGATCAGCTGCGGTACGCTGCCCTCTTAAGCAAACTTCGATCCTTATGGCTTCCCAGAAAAGCTTTGCAGACGGGTGGTTGACTGGCCGCAAGATATCCGTCGTAATTGACGGGTTCTGCTCTTCATCCAACAACGTCAACGCGGGTGCTCCCCAGGGATCGGTCTTGGCTCCAACACTGTTTCTCTTACATATCAACGACCTCCTTTCCTGCACGATCAACCCAATCCACAGCTTCGCTGATGACAGCACTCTACATGCCGATCTCTGCCGCTGAGCTGGAAAAAAGAAGACTAGCGACCACTGCCTCTCTGACAAGAGACCTGGAGGCTATCACTGCTTGGGGACGCAACAATCTTGTACAGTTCAGTGCTTCCAAAACACAGTACTGTACTTCGACGAACAAAAGTCTCATTCGGTTTCGATGGATGGCCGAGTTCTGCCATTTCAGCTGATTGGAGTCCAGATCACCGAAGACCTGATCTGGCACGAACACATCTCGTCAATAGCTGCAGCTGCTGAGAAAAAGCTAGGCTATTTGTTTAGGGCTAAGAAGTACTTTTCTCCGCATGACCTTCTCACTCTATACAAGGCCCAGATAAGGCCTAGCCTCGAGTATTGTTCACACGTTTGGGGTGCTGCCGCCCCGACTACATTATCCATGCTCGATGGTGTCCAGAGGAGGGCGTTCCGACTGATCGATGACTCTTCTCTAACAGACAGTCTCGGGACTCTTTCGCACCGGCGGGCCGTCGGCGATATAGCTGTTTTCTATCGCTACACCAACGGGCTTTGCTCCTCGGAGCCTTCTTCCATGACGCCGCCGCGCGATGTGCCTGCCAGGCAGACCCGCCTGACTTTGGCGTACCATCCTAACCGTGTCAAACTTCGTACGTCCAGAACGTGGCCGATACGACCGCTCCTTTGTCCCGAGGGTGTCGAGATTGTGGAACAATCTACAAGAGGAAGCTTTTCCCGGTTCTACTAACCTTAGGCAGTCCAAAAATCGTGATAACAAAATTTCTTCGGGATCATCATAGCAGCCGCGGTGTTCCGGCATTTAGGCTTCTGCCTGCACTGCTGCTTCGATATAAAAAAAATTTGATGCGTTTTGGTAAATGTTTTACCAAGTTTAACACAGAACTTGATATTATCTCTTTGTTCCATGCTCATTTTTCTAAAAAGGTACTGTCACCTTGAGCGCGATAACTCCGCGTGAAGTGGTTCGATTGTCATGAAATTTTGACACCGCATCAATGAAAGATTATACCGATCCACCGCTCCGATAATAGATGGCGCTACTTGTATCGGATGTCCTTCAAAATTCCTGCTTACTTTGCGACAGACCTTGTATAGGAATAGTCACATTTTCAACTTAAATCTAAAAATCCTATGTCTAACAAAAACCAGAGAAAAATAGTAAAAAACAAGATTCAATGGCATATATCACTATACAGGGTGGCGCATCGAAATCGAAACAGACGCATTTACTGGCAGCTCAGTTTTTTTTATTAGTACTTAATAAGTACTAAGTAATAAGTTCTTCACTACGCCCATGGTTTGTTTATCATTTCGTTTTTGAAAATAGCTATTAGAGCGTTTTTTTGTGGCAAAAAAGTTATATAAGTAGACGGGTTACCTTGCACGCCCCCCACCACTTCCACTTTGGCCACGCCCACCGCGTGCCCTGATTGGCGGATCAGACGGCGGGAAATTTGAACGGGGTTGATGGTATATGTTGACTGGCGGGCCCCGCTAGATGGCGCACCCGACCGGAAGTGATTCAGACAGCCGACGATAGTAAGGTGTAGTATACAGGGGGAGTCAAGAATGTTTTATATAGGGTGAGTCAAAAGGTAGGCGCATGCACATGTGCATAGATAGGAAAACACGTCTATGCGTAAGTGATGTGGCTCATTTCATGTTTTGCGGTAAATATTTGCATATAGATCGATAAAAGCCGATGAATAATGATAATTATAGATGCAATTCTGCGGATTCAGTTTAAATGGGAAAAAAATGTATTATGTATAAGATAAATTAACCATGGTATATTCCACAGCAGAAAGAGTTGAAATTATCGAAATATTTTTCGGAAATAATCAGTGCGCTAATAGAACAGCAGAAATATTTAATGCGCGACATGAGAACAGTAACGTGCATCGAAAATATGTTCTAGAACTTGTAGCTAAATTTCGGGAAACTGGGTCAGTCGCCAATAATAAACGCAACATTGAAAATCCCATAAGGAACGAAGCAATAGAAGTGAGGGTTTTAGGGCAAGTTTATGTAGATCCAACGTTAAGTACCCGCAAATTGGAGACTGTGTGTGGTGCTAGTCGATGTACCATCCACCGGATTCTAAAGGCTTATATACTAAGTGGCATTTAAATCCGAACACCCAGTTTAAACGGTTTTATTTTAATAAAATTTTGTATAAGTACTTAATGAAGCATAATAAGTGAATGATAAAAATTTCAAAATGATTGCACTGCTTTAAAGCCCTTTGACATTTAATAATGTGTGGATGCACCCTGATGTGCTACGCATTCTCCAACGCGCCTAGGCATGCTTCTGATCAGGTGGTTAATGTCCTCCTGTGGTATCTCATTCCAGGCAACCACCAACTCCTCTCGAAGTGCTTCTAGAGTCTGAGGAGGACGTTGCAAATTGAGCAATCTCCTACCCATCATATCCCACATGTGCTCAATTGGGGATAAGTCGGGAGATCTTGGTGGCCATGGTAACAATGTGACATCATTATGTTGAAAGAAGTCTATTGTGACTCTTGCAACATGTGGTCGTGCATTATCTTGTTGGAAAGTTGGATTTGCCAGGGTGTCAAGATAGGGTAAAAGATGGGGTTCTAGAACTTCGTGGATATAACGCTGCGCGTTCATATTACCTCTGATGAAGATTAAAGGTGACCTGGAACCATAAGCTATAGCACCCCAAACCATAACTCCAACAGTGTGATGAACATGCCTTTCAACAAAAAACTGTGGATTCCTCCTTTCACCACGTCGCCTTCTAACCGTGGCACGACCATCGTGCATGCCTAAACAAAATCTAGATTCGTCACTAAAGACAATACTGTTCCATTCCTGATCCCACAGTGACCGTTGTCTGCACCACTCAAGGCGATTACGTCGGTGTTCTCGAGTTAAAGCGAGGACCCAGTGTGGCCGGTATGAAAACAAGCCAAAACTTCTCATTCGTAGGTAAACACTTCGCATGCCAATAGTTCTTCCGTGTTCTGCAAACCATTCATTTGCAATGGACCTGGTAGTGGAGAAACGGTCCCTTAAGGCCAATAATCTTAGGCGGCGATCTTCACGGTCTGTTGTTCTACGGCCGCGTCCAGTGCCCCTTGCTCTTTGCGTACGGCCTTCTCGAAGACATGCCTGACAACACCTAACCACAGTGTCTACACTTCTTTGCACTCTAACTGCAATTGCCCGAAAAGAAAGTCCAGCTTCCCGAAGTCCCACTATACGGCCCCTATCAAACTCACTAAGTTGACGAAATTGTACAGGTCTCCGTCTCCGCCAACGTTGATTCTTTACTGCGGCTGAAATATTCATTTTTAGAGCGTTAGTGAATTAAAAAAAAGCAGTATAAAAACCGGAATGTCCAACTGATAAGGCTGAAAATTTGTTCACTTGTTATTTACAGTAAGATAAATACATTCACCAACTTTTATTAAAATAAAACCATTTAAACTGGGTGTTCGGATTTATATGTCACTTAGTATATTTAGACTTATTTCCAAAGGCAGTAGGTTAAAAATGTACCTGACAAGCCGCAGTTGATAGACATCATCGCACTCCGACAACGCGGAATGACTGTGCCAAATCGTTGTTACGATATGGTAGATATCTTTATCCTGAAGGATAAAAGCTACCGAAGATACTGCATGATGGAGCCGTTCGTAGTTTCTGATCTGTTGAAGCATGAATCTGTATGGTAGAAGATCTATCCACGGTTCGGCGGTTTTGTCCAGCCATTTGCAGCTAGAGCATATCAATACCTGGAATTTCAAAATAATGAAAGATATACTAAGTGACATATAAATCCGAACACCCAGTTTAAATGGTTTTATTTTAATAAAATTTTGTATAAGTACTTAATGAAGCATAATAAGTAAATGATAAGAATTTCAAAATGATTGCACTGCTTTAAAGCCCTTTGACATTTAATAATGTGTGGATGCACCCTGATGTGCTACGCATTCTCCAACGCGCCTAGGCATGCTTCTGATCAGGTGGTTAATGTCCTCCTGTGGTATCTCATTCCAGGCAACCACCAACTCCTCTCAAAGTGCTTCTAGAGTCTGAGGAGGACGTTGCAAATTGCGCAATCTCCTACCCATCATATCCCACACGTGCTCAATTGGGGATAAGTCGGGAGATCTTGGTGGCCATGGTAACAATGTGACATCATTATGTTGAAAGAAGTCTATTGTGACTCTTGCAACATGTGGTCGGGCATTATCTTGTTGGAAAGTTGGATCTGCCAGGGTGTCAAGATAGGGTAAAAGATGGGGTTCTAGAACTTCGTGGATATAACGCTGCGCGTTCATATTACGTCTGATAAAGATTAAAGGTGACCTGGAACCGTAAGCTATAGCACGCCAAACCATAACTCCAACAGTGTGATGAACATGTCTTTCAACAAAAAACTGTGGATTCCTCCTTTCACCACGTCGCCTTCTAACCCTGGCACGACCATCGTGCATGCCTAAACAAAATCGGGACTCGTCACTAAAGACAATACTGTTCCATTCCTGATCCCAGAGTGACCGTTGTCTGAACCACTCAAGGCGATTACGTCGGTGTTCTCGAGTTAAAGGGAGGACCCAGTGTGGCCGGTATGAAAACAAGCCAAAACTTCTCATTCGTCGGTAAACACTTCGCATGTCAATAGATCTTCCGTGTTCTGCAAACCATTCATTTGCAATGGACTTGGTAGTGGAGAAACGGTCCCTTAAGGCCAATAATCTTAGGCGGCGATCTTCACGGTCTGTTGTTCTACGCCGGCGTCTAGTGCCCCTTGCTCTTTGCGTACGGCCTTCTCGAAGCCATGCCTGACAACACCTAACCACAGTGTCTACACTTCTTTGCACTCTAACTGCAATTGCCCGTAAAGAAAGTCCAGCTTTCCGAAGTCCCACTATACGGCCCCTACCAAACTCACTAAGTTGACGAAATCGTACAGGTCTCCGTACTCTAGGCATCGTAACCGTAAAAATCCGCCAACGTTGATTCTTTACTGCGGCTGAAATATTCATTTTTAGAGCGGTAGTGAATTAAAAAAAAGCAGTATAAAAACCGGAATGTCCAACTGATAAGGCTGAAAATTTTTTCACTTGTTATTTACAGTAAGATAAATACATTCACTAACTTTTATTAAAAATAAAACCATTTAAACTGGGTGTTCGGATTTATATGTCACTTAGTATAGATGGTTTTTATCTTCGCAAATTATGGTAAACCTTGCGTTCTCATCAGAAGCAATTGCTAGGCAGATCGCATTATTAGGAAATGTAGTAAATATAATTGCAACATGTGGAAGGGTCCAGACAAGGTCGGACGGTTTTTTTTAAAAATCATAAAATCTGTGATTTTTAATCAAAAACAAATTTATTGACGGATTCGGAAGACTTTAAAAAGACTGATCAATTCGAAGCCGCATGATTGTGTAAATCAAGTTCAATTCGAAAACGGTACCGAAACAAATTCTTTGGTGATTGCAAACAAACTAAATGAATATTTTGTGAAAAGTATTGTTGATGTTGTGGGTACTGCCAATGCTGCACCTGACTATATGAAAATCAGTTTCCAGCGGGAAATGTTGCATACACTTTCAAAATTTCACAGCGTATCATTGAATTATGTAAGAAAAAAAGTAAACAGTTTAAAATCAAATAACAACTGTGCCGAAATCACTACTAAAAACGTGCTGAAAAACTGTTTCGAAATTTTGCGATATCCTGTATTAAATTGGATCAATTGTTCACCGAGAAGCAGTTCTTTTCCTGAAAATTTGAAATGCTCTACAATAACACCAGTTCCCAAAATAAAAAATTCTAAAAGATGCAGCGATATGAGACCAGTGAATGTGTTACCAGACATTGAAAAATTATTAGAGTCCATAGTGCATGACCAATTAATGCAGTTTATAGAAGAAAACAAAATTTTAGTGGAGGCGTAAGCAGGCTTTCGAAAAAATATTCCACAGAAACAGCTTTCCAGTTGGTAACTGAGAATTGGAGATGAGCCATAGACTCAGAAGAAGTTGTCATAGCAGTATTTTTGGATTTGAAGAGGGCATTTGAAACGATTGATAGAGATATTTTGTTAGGTAAATTGAAGGCATATGGTATAACAGGAAGCGTTTCAGATTGGTTTAGACGTTATTTGTCTAAAAGGATGCAAGTTACAAAAGTTAATGACACTATTTCATCAAAAATTGAAAATACGTTGGGTGTTCCACAGGGCAGTATCCTGGGACCACTTCTTTTTATTTTATACATAAATGATTTACCTGCCATAGTCAAAAAATGCAAAATTCAAATTTTCGCCGATGACACTATGATTTATATAAGTACTAAAAATATTCAGTCTGGTATCTCTTATATAAATGAAGACTTGAAGCTTGTCTCAAAATGGTTAGCATCTAACAGACTAAAATTAAATGCAAGTAAAACGAAAGCCTTGTTAATCGGAAAAAAAACAATGTACAAATGTTCAACTGAATATTGATGGTGAAGATATTGAATTCGTAGAAAATTTTAAATACCTGGGGGTTTTTGTTGACTCTCGATTAATTTTTGATATTCATTATGAAAAAGTTATAAATAAGATCAGTAGTAAAGTGGGATATTTATCGAGAGTTTCTGGATGTCTGAGTTCATATAGCAGAAAAATTATATATAATACCATCATTCTTCAAAATTTCTTGTACTGTTCGACTATTCTATATTTAGCAAATAATTCCATTTTTGAAAGACTGCAAATTTTACAAAATAAGTGCATGAGAATAATACTAAATAAAGATAAATATACTCCAATTAGGCAAATGCTTAGCAAATTAAAATGGCTCAATGTAAAAATTTTTATCAAATATCTTGTATTCATTTATAAAGTAAAAAATATATTTCCATCAAGTCTAACTAATTTAACATCACCAAATGTCGACCATCATTTACATAATACCAGAATTAAAGATGACTTCCATTTAATGACCAAAAAGTATAACATATGCTACAAATCTGTATTCCATCAAGGGTTGATTGAATATAATAAATTATACTCACAGAAAACTTTGACAAAATTTAAAGTAAAATTGAGAAATCACTTGTTAAATCTACAATTATAGGTTGCCCAGCATTTACATCATACACCATAAGGCTTGAATTTACTAGTTCTAAGCTGTTTACAATTATTCTGTTTATGTAGCCAAATGTGCTAAATAAATCTTTCTACTACTACTACTACTACATTTTCGTCCTGAACTGTTCCGGTCCCTGAGATGGATAAATCTGGGGACCGACGACGCCGATGAACGTCTAAACCTTTAAATAAGGCGACCACGGAATAGAGGGCGAATAACGTTCTTCCTTGCTCTGGTCGCCCCATCCACACACACACACTCACACGTGGAAAAATAATAGGAATGCCGGGTCTGGCACAAATGCATAATATCGCTTGCCTTGTCTGTTCTCGCGTTCAGCTTGAACCCGTCGAAGGTCTTGAACTTCTGGCATCGCGGGCAATACGCCAAACCTTTTTCCATTTTTCTTAGTGCCTTCTTTTGCATGTGCTTAGTTACCCCTTCGTTACATTCAGCGAGCTTGAAATGGTGCAAAACCGTGGCTTCTATTCTTTTCTCCAGTGCATCTAGATGCCTGTAAAAAAATGATTCAAGTAGGTTGACTCTGTTTATCACACGTTGATATATTTTTTGTCACTAAGCTGCGAATGTCCTAAAAGTGCCTCTATATTTTGTCAAAAGAAATTATGGAACAAGAAATATGAATTGTTAAAAGTTTTAGATTCGATAGATTTCAGTAAATATACTAAGTGACATATAAATCCGAACACCCAGTTTAAATGGTTTTATTTTAATAAAAGTTGGTGAATGTATTTATCTTACTGTAAATAACAAGTGAAAAAATTTTCAGCCTTATCAGTTGGACATTCCGGTTTTTATACTGCTTTTTTTTAATTTACTAACGCTCTAAAAATGAATATTTCAGCCGCAGTAAAGAATCAACGTTGGCGGATTTTGGTTCTTGACATCCTTTACGATCGGTTACGATGCCTAGAGTACGGAGACCTGTACGATTTCGTCAACTTAGTGAGTTTGACAAGGGCCGTCTAGTGGGACTTCGGGAAGCTGGACTTTCTTTTCGGGCAATTGCAGTTAGAGTGCAAAGAAGTGTAGACACTGTGGTTAGGTGTTGTCAGGCATGGCTTCGAGAAGGCCGTACGCAAAGAGCAAGGGGCACTGGACGCCGCCGTAGAACAACAGACCGTGAAGATCGCCGCCTAAGATTATTGGCCTTAAGGGACCGTTTCTCCACTACCAGGTCCATTGCAAATGAATGGTTTGCAGAACACGGAAGACCTATTGGCATGCGAAGTGTGTACCGACGAATGAGAAGTTTTGGCTTGTTTTCATACCTGCCACACTGGGTCCTCCCTTTAACTCGAGAACACCGACGTAATCGCCTTGAGTGGTGCAGACAACGGTCACTCTGGGATCAGGAATGGAACAGTATTGTCATTAGTGACGAGTCTCGATTTTGTTTAGGCATGCACGATGGTCGTGCCAGGGTTAGAAGGCGACGTGGTGAAAGGAGGAATCCACAGTTTTTTGTTGAAAGACATGTTCATCACACTGTTGGAGTTATGGTTTAGGGTGCTATAGCTTATGGTTCCAGGTCACCTTTAATCTTCATCAGAGGTAACATGAACGCGCAGCGTTATATCCACGAAGTTCTAGAACCCCATCTTTTACCCTATCTTGACACCCTGGCAGATCCAACTTTCCAACAAGATAATGCCCGACCACATGTTGCAAGAGTCACAATAGACTTCTTTCAACATAATGATGTCACATTGTTACCATGGCCACCAAGATCTCCCGACTTATCCCCAATTGAGCACGTGTGGGATATGATGGGTAGGAGATTGCTCAATTTGCAACGTCCTCCTCAGACTCTAGAAGCACTTCGAGAGGAGTTGGTGGTTGCCTGGAATGAGATACCACAGGAGGACATTGACATCAGAAGCATGCCTAGGCGCGTTGGAGAATGCGTAGCACATCAGGGTGCATCCACACATTATTAAAGGTCAAAGGGCTTTAAAGCAGTGCAATCATTTAGAAAATTTTATCATTTACTTATTATGCTTCATTAAGTACAAAAAATTTTATTAAAATAAAACCATTTAAACTGGGTGTTCGGATTTATATGTCACTTAGTATACGACTAACAAGATTCGCAATTTGAACAATATTATGACATACGGGGCATTTTACGCGAAGCAGGTATTGAAAGAAGGGAGGTTTCAAATGTCAATCATATTGGGCCATCTAGTGTCACGTTCATTGGCTAAGCCATACTTAAAATTGAGACTTTTTCAAAGAATTTTTTCGAACTGGAAAGTATAATATTGGAATGAAACCGTTTCATACTTTAAATCTTCTGTACTTTTCAATAAAAGAACCAAATTTGAGATTAAATAAACTTTAGGTGCTAAATCGTAAATTTGGCTTCTTAACATAGTAAATCAAGTAATTGTTTTCACACCATTTTTTGATCGATTGTATACTAAGTGACATATAAATCCGAACACCCAGTTTAAATGGTTTTATTTTAATAAAAGTTGGTGAATGTATTTATCTTACTGTAAATAACAAGTGAAAAAAATTTCAGCCTTATCAGTTGGACATTCCGGTTTTTATACTGCTTTTTTTTAATTCACTAACGCTCTAAAAATGAATATTTCAGCCGCAGTAAAGAATCAACGTTGGCGGATTTTGGTTCTTGACATCCTTTACGATCGGTTACAGTGCCTAGAGTACGGAGACCTGTACGATTTCGTCAACTTAGTGAGTTTGATAGGGGCCGTATATTGGGACTTCGGGAAGCTGGACTTTCTTTTCGGGCAATTGCAGTTAGAGTGCAAAGAAGTGTAGACACTGTGGTTAGGTGTTGTCAGGCATGGCTTCGAGAAGGCCGTACGCAAAGAGCAAGGGGCACTGAAGGCCGCCGTAGAACAACAGACCGTGAAGATCGCCGCCTAAGATTATTGGCCTTAAGGGACCGTTTCTCCACTACCAGGTCCATTGCAAATGAATGGTTTGCAGAACACGGAAGACCTATTGGCATGCGAAGTGTTTACCGACGAATGAGAAGTTTTGGCTTGTTTTCATACCGGCCACACTGGGTCCTCCCTTTAACTCGAGAACACCGACGTAATCGCCTTGAGTGGTGCAGACAACGGTCACTCTGGGATCAGGAATGGAACAGTATTGCCTTTAGTGACGAGTCTCGATTTTGTTTAGGCATGCACGATGGTCGTGCCAGGGTTAGAAGGCGACGTGGTGGAAGGAGGAATCGTCAGTTTTTTGTCGAAAGACATGTTCATCACACTGTTGGAGTTATGGTTTGGGGTGCTATAGCTTATGGTTCCAGGTCACCTTTATTCTTCATCAGAGGTAACATGAACGCGCAGCGTTATATCAACGAAGTTCTAGAACCCCATCTTTTACCCTATCTTGACGCCCTGGCAGATCCAACTTTCCAACAAGATAATGCCCGACCACATGTTGCAAGAGTCACAATAGACTTCTTTCAATATAATGATGTTACATTGTTACCATGGCCACCAAGATCTCTCGTCTTATCCCCAATTGAGCACGTGTGGGATATGATGGGTAGGAGATTGCTCAATTTGCAACGTCCTCCTCAGACTCTAGAAGCAATTCGAGAGGAGTTGGTGGTTGCCTGGAATGAGATACCACAGGAGGACATTGACCACCTGATCAGAAGCATGCCTAGGCGCGTTGGAGAATGCGTAGCACATCAGGGTGCATCCACACATTATTAAAGGTCAAAGGGCTTTAAAGCAATGCAATCATTTTGAAATTTGTATCATTTACTTATCAACCCATTTAAACTGGGTGTTCGGATTTATATGTCACTTAGTATATTAAAAAAAATATGAATTGGTTAAAAAACTTTAACACTAATGAAACAAAATGTATGTCAGTAGGGAAATGTTTAAATGATACAATTAGGCTCATGATTAATGATGAAAAATTCGAATCATTTAAATATCTGGGTATATGTTTCACTAGCAATATGAATACATTATTTCAAAAATTTTCATATTCAAATTAAAAAATCACTTATTACCATCACATTTAGAAAACATCTCAAAATTAAATAATCTTTATTGAGGCAGTATAGATTTTCATCTGCAAAATTGTAATAGTAGCATTACTGGCAAATCTGTATTCCAAAAGGGAGTATTTGAATTTTATAAATTGAATAATTATATTAAACAGTGCTTAAAAATGTTTAACGTGGAATTAAAAAATCACTTTATGAATGCTCAAAATGCATAGTGATGTAATTTTAACAGATAAGAATGTAAAATTACGTATACATAAAATATATATGAAGAAATGTGTAAACGAATAATTATACAAAATTGACATTGTAGCATTAATGCTAAATAAGTCTTCAAACAAACAAAGGAAACCACGAAATTACCATTTATGTTTAAACTTATTAAATCATTGATATATACTAAGAATAGGATCGGACCTAATACTGACCCTTGAGGCACCCCTGCATCTATATTTAATTTATTTGAAATATAATATGTTTTAAACCGATTGAGTGAAGCTCCAGTACAACCGTATTTGTTTAATAGTATATCATGATTTAAACCGTCAAAGGCTTCGAAAAAGTCGCAAAAAGGAGAAATTGGAATTTGTTTACCGTTTAAATTTGAGTATATTTCTTGGCACAAGCCATGGTATTTTTTTGTTTGTTTTTGAAATCAAAATTGTTGCTCACTTAGTTTTCTTTCGTTATCCTAATTTAGACCAAGCGTAGACCATGTTGATGAGTTGCCAAAAAGCACGAAACATCTGTCGTCGGACGTACGAAAACTATATTACCGGTTTTATCATTTTTTGTGCACGTAGAATATTCATAAATTTTATTTTTCAGCACTTTTCTAATGTACCAGTAATGAGACGTACTTTATCGTTCTTTTGTTGTTCCAGCAATACGGTAGTACCGTCGTACCTGTGCTCAGCGCCTCTAGCCATGAGCTGACACACCCTGTCAATCAAGTGTATAATCTGCAGGCTCTCCCCGCAGTCGTGATCGGCCAGGTAAGTTTTGATCTCGCAATAAACTTGCAACTTTTCCTCGGTGGTAAGGTCTTTCTTCACCAGCGTTTTGTACAGCTTGAAGTACTCCCTGCCTCGCTGGGTCTCCAACGTGTCCATGTAGATGTGCAGGCTCTTGTAGTTGCTGTACCACTCGATGGGCTTGCCTATGGCTTTGAAGAAGTTTATGACCTAGGGAGAAACGACCCTGATAGAGGAAAGTGTTATCAACCGGATTTCTTTCTCTAAACGCGGACTCCTGTGAAAGAGTCCTCAACCGGACTTCTTCCTGTTAACGCGGACTCCTGGGAAAAAGTAGTTATATGGAAGGGTTTCTTCAGAAAAAAGGTTATAGGCGCTTCTTGTTAGGATCGGTGTTGCCAGGTTTCACGTACTATCACGTGCGGTACAGATAGAACCTTATTTTTAAGACAACCCTCGTAGATAAGGTAAACGACTTAAAAAAAGAAATGTCCACAAAACAGCTGTTGGCATCTGCACAAACACTGTTCTTACTTGCAGAAGCAAAGTGATTATTTCGGAAAAAGATATGTTATTTCATAGTATTATTGCCATATTTATTGTTATTGTACTATGCTTTATGATTGTATTGAAGGTTTTGATCTGGTACAGGTAATGAAAGAACATACTAGAATTACAAAAAACAGCCTAACCTTGCTGGACGTAATTTTTATAGCTGCTGATGAGACTGATGTTATTGTTGGTACAAAAAATACGTCACATATTTCCGATCGTTCGTTAACCTTTTTTATACTAATTAAATCTGTTGCAAATTGTTCTAAAAAATGCATGGCGCTTCGTTGCCGAAAACAGACAGTAACTCAGCAAAGTATTCCTGTTGCGATAATTGTCTCTGAAAGTTGTAATAAATTATGGCGCGAAAATGTTCTCGGTTGATTTACATTTTTCTAATGACTCGGTGACACTTAAAAATTCACTGTAGTGAGAACACTGCTCGTATCGTTGTGAAACTTTGAATTTAAGTTTACCAAAGAGTGAGGTTAAGATTTAGTACTGACGTTCGATCCGCGCGGCCTACTATGTTTCTATATGCAAAACTTAAAAGACATCCCTCGTAAAAAGTGGTCTGAGTCGACATTTGCTCCCCTACACGTTTTCACATTCTGAATCATTCTACAGTATATTCAGATAAAAGATAGACCGGACATAAACAAGACCACGTGATCATCGAACGCTGTAACATTCGGCAGGGACGTATTAAGAGTCACGCAGTACATATTTTAGATAGTAGATGCTGCTTTGCGTAACTTTGTCGTAAATTAGCACAATTCGATGTGTATACGATTGGTGATGGATATAGGATCATGTGGGGGTGGGGTAAGAAATATATAATGATGTAAATATACATAAGGGTTTCAAAATTTTCGCTTCGATTTCCAGCTTCGGATGCCGCCTGATGTTTGGTGAAATACAGTCGAATATAATCTCAAAATGGCGTTTAAAATAGCCTAAATTAAAAATAATGGTATATCTCTTAAAATTGCTTTTAGAATATTGATTAGTATATTTTTTGTTTTCTAGGTAAATATGTAACCAAATTAAAACGTTCAAAACGTAAACAAATGTGCATGGTTGAACATTGTCAGAAAGTAGATTCTTGAATAGGTTTTGCCAAAATGGGTTCAAAAATGTCAATAATTAATTAAAAAATACAGTAGCTTTATATTTACTTATAACTTACCGAATTTGATGAACGACATCTTTTATTGGAAAGATGAGCTTGATGAGCTTTCATCATCGCTACTGCCTGAAGCACCAACGTCAATAATGAATGGCTCGACTTGTTCCTCTAAAATATTGTCCAGTTCCCACATTCTCTTTTCAACTTTGTCTTTCACGTGCTTAATACAGTTTTCCCATTTTTGCGCTGTTATTAATTCTAGTGCTTCTTTGAAAAGTCCTTTGAGGTCACAAAATTTAAAAGTTGTATTGTGCTTAGCTATATAATTTTTAACCTCTGCCCATATGAGCTCAATGGGATTGAGCTCGCAATGGTATGGAGGTAAACGGAGCACAGTTTTATTTTGACTTGCTGCCATTTCGTCAATGGCGTATTTTTGATATTCCGCCTTGTGATCCTTGACAATTCTTAATAATTGTACTTTCAGCATTGCTTCTTCAAAGTTGATATTTTTCGAGCGGAGCCAATTTTGAACATCAACTTTCCTTGAAGCCGTTGTTGGGACCTTCTCCATTCTTCGGGAATGATAAGGCGCATTATCCAACACAATTACTGCGTTTTCCTCTAAGTTCGGTAAAATTTTTGAAAACCACTGTTCAAACGATTCGCCATTCATTTCCTCGTGGTAATCTCCAGTTTTCTTAGACTCAAAGCACCACAGACCGTCAACAACAAATCCATCCCCACTGCCAATATGGCAGATAATGAGCCTTTTCCCTTTACCTGGAAATCGAAGTACTAACTGGTGTAGATTTATTTCAATAAGCGAACCTTTTTCAAATGTTTTCATCACATTCAGCGAAAAAACATTGAGACATGAGTATCAGATTGCTATAATTGGGATTATTTAGTCATATTGAAAGAAAGAATATTGAACGTCGTATGATTACTCAGCGCTTCACAATTTAATTTAAAGTTATAAACCTTTAAAAAATGAATGATCAGGAACCTGAAATACGCGCAAATATTAATATTAACAAATTATAACTTTATAAAGCTTAAAGTATGAATTAAAATGATTAGAAATATTAGGAACGGTACACAATATAAAACTTAGTAACTTTTTTAAGTTTATAATATTCGACATATTTTAAGATTATATTAAAAAATTATTGAAATATCGAAAACACATAAAAACATGGCTTAAAAAAGTTCTAACAAATGAAAATGACAATAAAACATCCACGCATTTTATCGAAAGTTATAAAAGTTTTGTTACTTGTAATATGTTTTATCTGCCCCCTGGAATTAATGTTTAGAACCTTGTTCCCAAGGTTTGAAAAACATCCGATTGTTGTCTATTACTCGTATTTACCTGCTGGATTTTTTAATCCGGTGGACAGTCCATCTAGAAAGGCCCTCCTGGATGAAGTTACAGAATCATCAACCCATACTTTACTTGTAGTGTGTCCTGCGTTTACCCACGTTTCATCAAGGTAATAAATCTTCCTGTTTTGATTTCTATATTTCCCAATTTTTGTTAAATAATCCCTCCTCCATAGCACAATTTCTTCTCTATCCAGTAGTAAACTATTACGACCCCGTTTTTTCCATTTGAAATTTAAATGCTTCAGTAACGCATGGAAAGTTGATCGTTTGAAATTTGGCAACGTTGTATCTCTATTTACCTCCTGCAGTACTTTATCTATAGTAGGTATTTCATTCCTAAAGAAGAATTCATGCACTTTCCTCCTAATCGCATGCTTATCAGCTTCATCCAATGATTTAACAATACTTTTGCGATGTTTACTGGTCATTGGCTTAGAAAAGGTGTGATTTTTTTTTGTATTGTCTTAACACATTAAACACTGATGCGCGACACACCCCAACTTTGTGAGAAACCTTCACTACAATTTCTTTGATGGTTGATGCCTCGTTCTGCTCGCGCTCGATCTTATATATATTCAAAATGACCTCTTTCATTTCTGCATTCAGGTGTCTTTTTTTAGAGCGTTTCCTAGGTGGACTACAGGAGCTTACAACTTCATCGGCAGTATCTGTACTACTGGGCATTTTGCGCAAGCAGTTGATAACAATAACAATCAATAACAAGGTATAACAATAACAACGACAAACTCAACAACTTAATAAGATAACAAACGAAAACGTCCAAAGAAATATCAAATTGCAATGATGCACACGACATACGTAACACGTCTGAACCTGAATGTGACTCTGCCTTGATACGACTGCTCTGCCGCTCGGCATAGGCATTTAATTGCGAATTGACCAATGAGGGCTCCTGTTTTACGTCGAGACGGCGGCGTTAGCGTGAAAATCACCCGAACCTTTTGTTTACATCCGGTCTATCTCTTATCTGAATATACTGTACAATGATGCTTTGTTACCAAAACGTGATCAAGTTGATTTAAGTAATTACCATCAGGTGAGGGCCAAGTTCCTTTGTGTATGTTCTTTCTTTTAAAATGGATACTCATTATTTTCATTTGGTTTTCTTTTGCAAACTCTATAACTGTTCTTCCATTATCATTACAATTTTCGCGTTTGCTGTGACCACCGGTGATCTCTTTATAAGTTTCTTCATTTCCTATTTTTGCATTCATGTCCCCCATCAGTTTCACTGTTCTCTTGCATAACGAGTGATAAATTTCCTCAACTTTCTTATAAAAAACGTACATTTCTTCCTGCTCCTTTTGTTCTGTCGGGGCATGCATACACATAATTGACATCTTCTGTCCATTAGCCACTTCTAGGTGGCATAGCCGGTCAGATATTGGTGTGTATTTAGTTACTTTTTAAATGATTTATTTAATTGAAAACATGAAGGATCAAAAATCAGCAGGATATAACGGTATAATTGCAGAAAACATTAAATTTGGATGGGGGCTGCTGAAACAACACATACATGGATTAATCCTAAGAATATGGAGAGAAGAAGAAATGCCCAGTGACTGGGAACTAGCACTTATTACCCCATTACTGAAAAAGGGTGAGGCGACCGATTGTAATAACTACAGCGGAATATCGCTATTGGATGTAGTATATAAAATTCTATCAACATTGCTTAAAATGAGACTAGAGAAAATTATAGATCCACATTTGGGAGATTATCAAGCTGGTTTTCGCAAGGGAAGATCGACAACTGATAACATTCACAGGTGTTTTTCTTTATCAAGAACTTTGATACCTATCCAAACGTTTATTCCTGGATGTGTCCCACATTTTCATTAATGACAACTGTATCAATAAGAAGACAGATGATAAGCAACTGAGTGTTATTTACTCGTATTTGCTAAACTGCGAAAAATTGGAGCACTTAGACATCTCTCCAAATTTTGACTTTTCACAACCATGGTCTATGCCACCAAAAAATTCCATTCCATTCAAATTTGAATAATTGTTTTCTCATAATAAAATAATAACTGTTCAATAATATAGTTAGTTCAACTGCCTCTGGTCGGTTTGACAAGTTCTTATCCAACATATCTTGAAAATCACACCATCTGAAGTGATTTGGCAACATAGCACATGCCTTACAAAATAAGTTTCGTTCCATCCATCTACACGGACACTGCTAACCTTCTGCCATCTGTCAAATGGTTTATTACATAACATTCTGAAAATCACATCATTTGAAGTGATTTGGCAACGTTGGCACACGCCCGCAATTCGTTCCATCTTTCTACACAGACATTGACAACCTTCGGCCTTCTGTCAAAGGGTTCATCTCACTCATTATTCCATGACCACCATTTTGTGCAATCATCAAGTGGCTTCACGATGTAATGCTTTCATGTTTTTTTAAAATAATTTTAATCTGTTTTTAACTTGTTCTTGTCATATTTTATATAATTTTGACCATTGTACCATCTATCCAGCTTTCACCATGTTACTGGGCGTTTCCCTCATCCTATACGTAAACAACAATTAGCAACATCCTCACATATGAATTAAGTTAAGTCAATTTAAATTCATTTTACACTATTGTTGCTACTGTTATCATTGTAATTGCAGCTCCTGATGATGATGGCAAAGTCCATTGAAAGCTAGAGAGAATTAAAAAAGTATAAAGAGTCCTCTTTGCTTAAATTTTGTCGCAGTACCCAATAAAAGGCGGAAGCTTTAATTTTTCACCTCAATATATATATATATATATATATATTGAGATTGAGATATATATATATATATATATATATATTGAGTAGCCTTGTTGTGCTAAAAATTATTGAAATCGGATGAACATACGTAGGTGTTTACCTTTGTTTGTCACTCAGTATATGTTAATGCATGTTAAAATAGTATTTAGGAAGTTCCTATTGTTTTTCTGAATCGAAAATGACGTATTTCGAACCTTTTTAAATATCGCTTATATCTCGAAAACTATCAACTTTAGAGAAAAGATCTAAAGTGCATTTTTGGTTCAGAGTGTCCCAAAAAAAAAAACAAAAAATTTGACTGGAGCACAAAAAAAAGAATTTGTTGTTTGACAAATTTTTGACGCAAATTTGGTCCTGGCAACATCCAGATTCGTTAAGGGGTGCAAAAAATCCGAATCAGAATATTTTCCTGGATTTATACAACGGCACCTTTTTATGTCCCATATCTTCGACGACTTGCAACTTCAGCTTCTCCAAAGACCTGAGTATATCGATCTCCTTCTCTAAAAGTAGATAGAACTCCGCAATCTTGGAAGGTCCGCAGTACATCGACGATATCTTGGCGATTTCCGCTTTTTTCCACTTTTCCACCATGGAATAAAGCATAGCGAAATCGGTCAGTGTCATCGGAAAAACTTTGCTGACCAAATCTCTGCGTTTCCTAGCCTGGTCTTCAAGTCGTTCGCGTTCTATTCTTTCTTGCTCTAAGCGGACACGCTGTCGGTACTCTTCGCTTAGTTCGTGGAGGGACTGGCGCATTTTCCAGGCGCGGAAGTACCTGTAAAGTGGTGTCACCTCAGATTTTCTATTCATTTAGGAAACAGCGAATAATAACGTTAACCGAGATCTTGCCCAAATTGAAAAGCTTAGTAGTAAATCTCCGTTCGAATCCTTTAAAGGCAAATATACCCAGTGACATTAGAAGTTTTTGTGAAGAAATCAGTTTTTAGTTATTGCCCTTTCATTTACTTGTGTTGAGCATTGTGTTAGCGACTTTGACAGGAGTAGAATTATTGCCTATCGAGATGTTGGTTTGTCCTATCGCGAAATTGGCCGCCGTGTTATTTTTACTGCAATGACGGTAATGCATGAGTGTCGTGTGTGGATAGACGAATTTAGAGAAACACGAAGAAGCCCAACTGGTCCGCCGAGGCGTACCACAAGACCGTTTTGCTACTAAGCGTCGGAACTCTGACCAATGGTTTGGAGCAGAAGGTCGACCTGTTACTATGCGTACGCTCTATCGCCGCATTCGAGCCTTTGGACCTTTTTCACGGTTAGTGCTTCCTCTGACTGCGGACCACTGTCGTCAACGTTTGAACTGGAGCAGAAGAACGTCAATATTGGGAGGCAGAATGGCGATTCTGTCTAGGTACGCGCGATGGTCGTAAAAAGGTGAGACGCCGCCGTGGAGAACGGCGTGATATTTGATTTGCTGTTAAGTAGGAGGACCGTTGGAGTAATGGCTTGGGGGGCTATTGCCTATGGTAGCCCTTTTCTTTGTTCAAGGCAATGTGACTGCTGCGCGCTATGTTGATGATGTCCTACAAACCACTTTACTGCCGTATCTGTTATGTATGTATCGAAGAAAGAGACTAAACCCATATTGCTCGTCGTAATACAGACTTTCTTCAAGAAGCAGGCGTTGATATTTTTCCCTGGCCACCCCGTTCACCGGATTTAAATCCCATCGAACACGTGTAAGATATGATGGGGAGTAGACTGTCCACTGTGCATCATCCGCCACAGACTCTGCCACAACCAATCCACGATGTTCGACTTGCCACAATCAGACATCGACCATCTCATTTTGTCGATGCCTAGACGTATACAGGAATGTATTCAGCTGCGGGGTCGCCCAACACATTAATTTTTTTCTTATTACTTGTAAATAAAATTTCGTGAGAATATTATCGTTTTATTCTTGATGTATAGTGAGAAAAAAAATCGAGTTGAAGAAATTATTTTTTTCTAATGTCACTGAGTATACAGGGTGTTTCAGTTTATTGTTGCATAACTTTAAGATTCGATAGAACTTTTAAAATTAATGCATAAAGTTTATATAAACATGGGTCGAAAAATGCGTGGCTTCCGAAATACAGGGTGTTTAAATTTACTTTCTAAAATAGTTTTTTTTAAATATTTCGAACAATATTTGATGTATAACAGTGAAAATTGGTATACAAGGGTTTTTTGGTACGATAAAACGAACCATGGGCATAGTTTTACTGTAGCCGCTAGAGGGCGCTCTCTACTGTACCTGTAGTGTATTAAAATGACCGAAAATTTTTTCTTAGTGCAATTTTTTGCTTTTGGAATAAAAAACTGATTCTTCGCACTTTTCAACATGAAAAAGCTCTCTTGTGAATTTTCGTTATAGTTAGCCGTTTTTGAGATATTTCGATTTTTAAGGTTCGATGCATTTTTAATTATTTATGATAAAATAACGTTAAAAAGTCAGTATCTCGATAATTTTTAGAAGTAGGCTGTGCCTGCAAATATTTTTGAAATTGAAAGTATGCAGTTCGGGAAAGAAATTTTCAGCATCAATTTAGTGTGAACGTGTGGATTGGTATCTACCGTAATCGACTATTTGGACCCTACATTTTGCCTGCAAGGTTAAATGCTGCAACCTTCTTGGAATTTTTAAAGGCTGAACATGCAAATATGTGGGATGATGTTAGATTTAAGAAAATTGGCCTGGTCCCAGCTTGATGGTTGTCCAGCTCATTATTCGAGAATAGTTAGAAACTGGCTGGACGAAAATTATTCAGAAAGATGGATCAGCCGTGGAGGACCAGTCGCCTGGCCTCCACGATCCCCTGACCTAATTCCATTAGATTTCTTTGTGTGGGGATTTCTAGAAGAAAAAGTGTACAAGACTCCCGTAACCACAAGAGATATGCTAATAGACGGAATCAGGAATGCATGTGATGAAATAAGGCCTTATTTGAATAATGCTATACCACGTTCGATCATTCGTAGATGTAAATTGTGTATTGAACAATTGGGTTAACATTTCGAGCAACTACTTTAGATTTTGTATGTTTGTCCTAACTATCCAATAGCATTTTAGTTGTAAATAATTAATTTAATTTGTCAAAAATAATATTGGAAAATTAAACAAATTAATATTCTGTTTTTTTTTGTGTTTATTTGGAGTTAGGAATTATCGCTGTGTTTAAAAACACAATCTAAACGATCATCTTAATTACTTGTAATGCCCAAATCGAAAATGTAAAAAAAAATATTATTTTCCCATCAATAATTAAAAATGCATCGAACCTTAAAAATCGAAATATCTCAAAAACGGCTAACTATAACGAAAACTCTCTGGAGAGCTTTTTTATGTTGAAAAGTGCGAAGAATCAGTTTTTTTATTCAAAAAGCAAAAAATTGCACTAAGAAAAAATTTTCGGTCATTTTAATACACTACAGGTACAGTAGAGAGCGCCCTCTAGCGGCAACAGTAAATCTATGGTTCGTTTTGTCGTACCAAAAAACCCTTGTATACCAATTTTCACTGTTATACATCAAATATTGTTCGAAATATTTAAAAAAAACTATTTTAGAAAGTAAATTTAAACACCCTGTATTTCGGAAGCCACGCATTTTTCGACCCATGTTTATATAGACTTTATGCATTAATTTTAAAAGTTCTATCGAATCTTAAAGTTATGCAACAATAAACTGAAACACCCTGTATAATGTCTGAATAGTTTTACAATTTTTTAAATATGTTACCAATTGAGTGAATTTCCAGTTCAACCAGATTTGTTTAATTTATCTAATAGTATCTCACGAATCACACAATCAAAAGCACCGGAACAGTCGCAAAAAGGAGTTACTGAAATTTGTTTATCGCTTAAATCCAAATTGGGCGTAACTTATAATTTTGTTATTTTTTAGGAACTTAATCAAATTTGAACTATTTTTTTCTAACGGGTTTTGCAATAGGGACTTGACAATTTTGAACTGCCACTGTGAACGCACCTTTGAATCAATTACCGAACTGTCAATGCCAAACTTCATCGTGGTGAAATACACGAACGAACAAGGCTTACGGATTCTTAAAATTTACTACCGAAATTTCACGTACTTAACTGTGCCGTGTGGGAGCCACGTCCGTGTTCAAGTTTTACCTGTGCGGGTAAAACTGTGGTGAAGCTTGCGTAGACCCATTACTATAAGAGACAATGAACAATTATTGGGTTGTCGGAAAAGTCATGACGTATATGCAACAAAGTATGCAATTGCATGGTTGGAAGTACGTGAGTCAATGACATTTGTATGTTGATTGTGTAGTTTGACAGTTGACACTTCAAGCTTCATTTGCACCAAAAAATTGAGTGATTTATTTGAGTCTCGTCGATTTTAGAGGACGTTGAAGATGGACGACCAAACTGTGCATTTTCGTCACATTTTGCTGTATTACTTCCGCAAAGGCAAGAACGCAAGACAAGCGTGTGAAAAGTTGAGAAAGGTTTATGGAGAACATGCACTACAAGAACGGCAATGCCAGAGATGGTTTAAAAAATTCCGAGATGGAGATTTTGATATCCATGACGCACCTCGATCAGGGCGGCCTACTGAGTTGGATAGTGACGAATTAAAGGCATTGGTAGGAGCAAACCCACATTACACCACACGGGAAATTGCAGAAACCTTAAAAATCCATCATTCAACCGTTCACGACCATTTGAAGAAACTGAGATACGTAAGCAAACTCGATCGTTGGGTACCACACGAACTGAGAGAGGTTCATTTGACGGCGCGTGTAGACATCTGCGATATGCTCCTTAAACGTGAGGAAAACGATCCTTTCTTAAAGCGCTTGATAACGGGAGATGAAAAGTGGATTGTTTACAACAATGTGATTCGCAAACGGTCTTGGTCCCGAAGTGTAGATACGCGTAACACGATCGCGAAAGCAGAGAGTCATCAGGAAAAGGTGATGCTCTCTGTTTGGTGGGATTTTAAAGGGATCGTGTTTTTCGAACTCCTGCCAAAGAACCAAACCATCGATATAACTGTGTATTGTCGGCAATTGGACAGTTTGCAACAATCCATCATGCAGAAACGTCCGGAGCTCATTAATCGCAAAGGAGTTGTGTTCCACCATGACAACGCGAGACCGCACACAAGTTTGCTCACTCGTCAAAAGTTATTGGAGTTAGGATGGGATGTGTTACCACATCCAGCATACTCGCCTGATCTTGCCCCATCTGATTTTCATTTGTTTCGGTCGCTTCAACATTCCTTGCGAGAAATACGCTTTACTTCAGATGAAGCTGTACATCAGCACCTTGTTCAATTTTTTGCCGGTAAAGACAAATCCTTCTACGAGCGAGGAATTATGAAGCTGCCTGAAAGATGGCGAAAGGTCATCGATCAAAATGGGCAATACATTATTGATTGAAGTTTGTGCTGTATATGAATAAAATGGCCTTAAAATAAACAAAAAAAAAGCGTCAAGACTTTTCCGACAACCCACACTGATCAACAGCCAAAAAATATCCTAAATAAAATCAACAAAATATTACTATTTTTAATGTGCTAAAACAGGAATGAAACTTATTTTTTCAATATTAGTTCAAGTTTTAGAGATACGGTAATTATATGTGTTCCTGCTGTGACAGTGTTAATATACTGTGATTCACAAGAATGCACGTGCTACATTTTTATATTCGGCAAGGAAAGATGATGTAATCGGCATGATTGTGTTACGTTATACATACGTGTACATTATATTGTTTTATATTAGCCATTTTTTCCTCAGTTGACTGACAGCGTTCATGCAAGATGTCTCGAAAGTGTGTAAACAATCCAGATCAGTTTTGTTACGTGTGTGGTGATGTGACTTTTGCGTCTCAGAGACGGTCTATTACTCCACTAATAACAAAGGCATATCAGCTTTATTTCGGTTGTAAAGTAGGTGATCAAGACAAACAGTGGGCACCCCACATCTGCTGTAATACATGTGCTTCAAGTCTGGTTAAATGGCAAAAAACGGTCTATGCGCTTTGCTGTCCTAATGGTTTGGAGAGAGCCTACAAATCATATTAATGATTGTTACTTTTGCATGGTACCTTGTGTTGGACAAGCCACAGGTATGTCCAAGAAAAAAAATCGGTTATTAACTACCCAAACATACCATCTGCGATGAGACCTGTGCCTCACAGTGACGAAAATCCTATTCCAAAACCCCCAGAATCCTACACTTGCGAATCAGAAGACGAATCAGATCGTGGCGATCGAGTGATTCCTCAGGAAGAAGATATGCCATCAACGTCAAGAGATCCTGATTTTATACCGAGCACGTCATGCCACCAACCGCACAAAATAACACAGTCAGAATTAAATGATCTTGTAAGTGATTTAGAACTTCCAAAATGTAAGGCAGAGTTACTTGGATCAAGACTGCAGCAGTGGAACTTGTTAGAAGACGATGTTTCGGTATGTGTTTTTCGTAAACGCCACAAAGACTTAGAACCATTTTTCAATATGGAGAATAACTTGGTTTTCTGCAGTAACGTTAACGGCTTACTGGCGGCTTTAAATATAAACTATAACCCAGAAGAATGGAGATTGTTTATAGACAGTTCAACATTGAGTTTAAAGGCAGTGTTATTGCATATTGGAAATATTTTACCGTCTCTTCCTGTAGGGTATGCAGTTCACATGAAAGAATCATATGACAATATGAAGTACCTATTGACATGCATAAAATACGCTGAGCACCAATGGCATATTTGTGGCGATTTGAAAGTTGTTGCACTTTTACTTGGGCTGCAGCTAGGCTACACAAAGTTTTGCTGTTTTTTGTGTGAATGGGACAGTCGGGCAAAGACACTTCATTACACCAGACAAAACTGGCCTGTTCGTCAATTCCTAGAGCCAGGTCAAAAAAATGTACAGCATATGCCATTAGTAGATTCGAAAAAAAATTTATTACCACCACTGCATATCAAGTTGGGCCTAATGAAAAACTTTGTCAAGACATTAGATAGAGATAGGTCAGCTTTTCAATACCTGCCGTCAGAAATTTTCAAGACTAAGTGAGGCAAAGGTTAAAGAATGTATATTTGTTGGACCACAGATTCGAAATATTTCGAAAGATACACAGTTTGAAAACACTTTAACAGGTATTGAAAAAACTGCTTGGAATGATTTCCGTCTGGTGGTCACTAATTTCTTGGGAAATAGATAAGCTGACAACTATAAAACCCTTGTCAAAAATATGCTGTCAACGTATCAAAAGATGGGCTGTAATATGTCTCTTAAGATACATTTCCTACACTCACACCTGGACTTTTTTCCTGACAATTGCGGGGCCGTAAGTGATGAGCACGGCGAACGTTTCCATCAGGATATTTCAACAATGGAAAAAAGGTACCAGGGAAAGAGGAATCCTTCCATGCTTGCAGACTACTGTTGGATTGGTAGAGATGTTCCAGAAACGATCCATAAAAGAACAGCAAAAAGACAGCGCATATAGTGATTCTTATAAGTATATGAATCTTGTTACTTTTTTTTAATATATCCTTAAAAATAAAAAGTTTTTTTTCTAAACCGCAACTAATTTTTTTATTTAATTGTCATTTTTGGATTCAGCGCCCCAAAATAAGTGCACTTTTCCCACAAGATACAATTAAAAAACTAAAATTTGTTGTCCAGTGTTATTTTGCAGAGAAAAACACCGAGTACTATCTGCACGTGCTACAAATAGGGGAGCATCACTAGAAGAAGGAGACTATGTTGAAAAAAAGTCCGAAAAAATTTTTTTTATCTTTGTTGGATCGGAAACTTTTCAGACCACCCTCGTACATATCGTATCTTACCTTTGTATGGTCCTGACTTTACCGTCGATATCAAGCCTGGCCTCCCTCTCGTCTGCTGTTTCGTACGGGCCGGCCGTTATAATTCTATCGTTCACGCAGGGTATGTAGATGCCCTTATTAGGCATCTGAGTCGCCCTGGTGTACTCCATGTCCAGTTTGCGGTTCTTCATAAGGTACGTCTGAGTATCGCGGTGGTTCTTCATTTCGGGTGGCACTTTTGGGGGAGGCGGGCCGGTTTGGCTGTAACCGTGCGGGTATTTCACTCCTACGATTTGAAAAAAAAATGGCGTCGGGTAGGTTGAATTTGTACCTGCCGCGCAACGCTTCAGTTCAACGAACAAGTACAGAGTGGACCAAAAATTCGCAGTACATTTCCTATCATGTGACAAATTTTTTAGTTTGATTTTATTCAAAAATGGCACAATTTATCGATATTCAATAAGAGTACCTTTTTTATGTAGAAAACCGTAGATTTTCAATTTCTTAAATTGAATTTCAAAAATAGAATCACACAAAAATTTTGGGGCTAAAATAACCTGAGTCCGTCCCTGTTACATACGCTTACAAACAAAACTGTCTAAAATTGTTAATATTTTTAAATCCAGCATCAGAAACTAGGCTAGGATACCAAATTTTATGTCGTTATCTCAACACGTTTCGGAAATATTACCATCTTCAGGGGAACCCCTTTAAAAGCCCGTAGCGCCCTTAGGGGACGTTTGTCGACCTATGCTTATATAAACTTTTCTTCCTATTTTAAGCTCTAGAAACCGTTGGTAGAATATTGCACACTTTTTTCGGGACACCCTGTCGAGATGCCGCACCTGTATCCGCTAGAATGGAGGTCTTTTTGAAGATTTATTGAAATAAAGCTTTGATTATCTTTTTTACTTTTACGAAAACAATGCACTATAGGAAAAAACACAAGACTAATTATTTTTAGCAAAAAAAACAGTGGCGTACTACTCGTATTTTTATTTGGAAAAATAATGCAACCAATCCCCTGTATCTCCGCTACTGGTACACGTTAGTTTTAAGTAAAGACTGTGGAATGTGGACAATATTTAGATAAATTCACATACCAAATTTTAGTTCGTTCCAGTTTTGAAGATATGAAAAAAAATTGTTTTTTACACCGCGTATCTTTTTGATGAAAAAATGTTACATAGAAGACCCCCCTTAAAATGCGGTCCTGTGTATGAGGTTTCATTTATGGTGAAGACTTGTGAACCACCCTGAATGTAAAAGAAACAATCTCGGAACCAAGGCCGATCCCTGGGGAACACCCGCGTTGACATTGTGGAATGAAGAGGACTGAAAAAGTGCGTTGATGGGCCTTGCGATCTGATAACAGAAATTTGTGCATCTAGACCAGAGTTCCCGAAACTTTTTTGTGTCGTAGACCCCTTGCCATGTTTTTCCGTGTTGGGTAGACCCCCTACTTACCTGATATTGATTTCCTGTAAATTTCTAACTGTAGTGAAGTTTAGTGTTAAAAACGTAAAGTAAAAACACATGTTAATGTATACATTTATTAATTGAATTTAAATTAAAACTACTCAAAATAAAATTTTGTATCTGTTATGTAAAATATACGTAACATTAAATAAACAGGTGTCTGACCAATAAGTGCCCGCATTGAAAAAAAAATAATAGGGATAAAATAAAAAAAAGTGAAAAATAATAAAAAAAAAGTTTTTTGCTTAAAATAGTACAATAAGCGAGTTCGTTTATCAATTATAACATAAACGTATGTTCTACAATAATTTCACTGTTAGTTTGATTAAATTCCGCTTCTTATACGTTTAAGTTATCTAAAAATAGGCAAAAAATTAACGAATTCTAGTGTGTACCTATCCTTGAATTTTCAGAATAATTTAAAAAAAATATTTTCTATAAAGGGGGGGTTCTTTAAAAACTCAATGCGGGCACTATTCCCAATGCGGGCATTTATTGGTCAGACACCAATAAACATAAAATAAACTATAAATAAAATAACATAAGCAATAAGTCAATATTTTTAGTGAGAAGGATGAACCTGATGTTTTAATAATAAATTCTCAACATTTGGCGTCTATTTTGTAAGGGTTAATCTTAAATCTCCTCGGCTAATGATGTCCAGTCTGTTTCTTTTTTTCGTTAGGACATTGGTAACAGCGCTGAACCCCCTTTCCACTAGGTATGACGATGGAAAGGAAATTAAAAATTTCCTCGCTATATTCCATAATACGGGATAAGTAACGGTTATGTTGTTTTGCAGCCAGAATTGCTGATATCCGTTTTTAAACTGAACCTTAAGTTCTTCGTTTTTACTTAGTTCAGTCAGTTCCTCTTGTATTGTGACATTCGTTTCTTCTATGTCACCATATGGATTAATTATCCACGGTGGTATTACCGTAGTCAAAATATCCTCAAACCTAGATTCAAAATCTGAATAGAGGGCATTTAAATGTTGAACGTAAGTTGAAACGTCGTCTTCCTGGCAGCTTGTCTGTGACAAATTGGGGAACTGAGAAAATTCCCCCGTCCAATATTTTGCTTCATTATTTTAACTCTGGCAAGAAACGCTGATAAGATGGACGTTGTTTTAATCAAATTTAAACTGTCACCTTGTAATTGCAAATTAACCATATTAAATTGTGTAAACAAATCTGTTAAATAGGCGATGTCTGTTTTCCTCTTCATTAATTTTTCTTTTAAAATTTGATCTTTAGTATCCAGAAATTCTAAAATAGTCTCAAAAAGTGAAAAAAATCTTGTCAAACATAAGCCTTTCGGCAGCCAGCGTACTTCAGTGTGAAGGAGTAAAATGATGAAAGTGTTCGTCATTTTCTTCACACAACTGCGCAAATAACCGCGTATTCAACGCGTTGCTTCGGATTCGGTTTACTGCATCAATGACTAAATGAAGTGATTCATGCAATCTAACACTCAAATTTTTAGCAACTAAATGTTGTCGATGAATGACGCAATGTATTGCTAACACCCCTGACACATTTTGTTTTAAATAGCTTATAAATCCACGATAACGTCCAACCATGGCAGGTGCTCCATCTGTAGCTACTGATGTTATATTTGATAAAGGAATTGCTTTTTCAATGAAGTAATCCTTCAAAACATGAAATATTGATTCACCTTTAGTGTCGGTTATCAAAATTCTTGCGAAGAGCAGTTCTTCGTAGATTTCTTGATTCATAATAAAACGAACATATGCCAATAATAATGCTGCATTATCAGGTAAAGTTGACTTGTCCAGTTGTATAGAGAAATGGGTCGTTTGCAAATAATTACATAAGAAGCTTTCAATATCAGAACTCATTTCATCAATACGTCTTTCAACAGTATTGTTGATTAAGGGAATTCTTTTAATGATATCAGATGCAGTTTGCAGTTTTTAAAAACTCTTCAATGGCTGGCAAAATTAACTTATCTCCGGATTTTGCTATAAGTAACGAGATATTGTAAGACGCCCGCAAACATCATCATTTCTTTGTGACGTCGAAGCGAACATTCTGTCCAGTGTAGGTCTCTTCTGAAATTTATCTTTGAGTGTTTGAAAGTATTTCAAATCTTTCTCTGTTTTATCAGGGTGGCATCTTTTCAGATGATCTTGCAGTTTAGATGGTTTCATAGCATCATTACCGAAAACTTTGTTGCATAAAAGGCACACAGGCGATTGTTTGTCCGGCAATGATGGAATGAAGCCAAATTTCAAATAATCAACACTGTACTGTCTACATTTCTTTTTAGATTCGGAAATGGCATCAGTCATCTGTGGGCAAAATTAAATTATTTAAATAAGACAGAAAATCCGGCAGCTGTGTATTAAAAATATTTTTTGATTTTTCCGAAAACATTCCATAATTCGAACATCTTCTTGCAAGAATTAGCTCGAATTACGGAGATTGCACTGTAATTATATTACAGATTGCTAAAACTTTCAAAAATAAACTATTGAGGAGTACTCGTGTAATTTTGCATGATTGAATATTTAACTACTAATAAGTCATGATTGGCGTAATTTATCTATCTTTGCTAACTACGAGTACAAAACTAAAATTTAATATAAAATAATGTACTTACTTTTATCCAGCACTCTCAAACAAAATAACACTGACTCACTATAATTTGTGTGATATACTATCTGTTTATATTTTTTAAAATATTTTCTTAGCACTTTCCTTTTCAAGATTCAGGAATACATTCGTATTCATAGAGTGACGAATTGAACAAGTCAGTGCAAGGTAGCGAAGCTCTGAGACTGCGACTCTCAGGTTTTTACGAGTTAAAAATGTATTGCAACCACAAAGCGAATACCAACATCCTACAACTTACACAATTTTATAAACATATATAATAATTTTTTTACTTCATAGGTACTTTTATTATTACTACGTTTTGATATTATAAGATAGTATGATGTAAGTAAATAGTAAGTCTATGTGTTGAGATCCACTATCGTGGACCCCCATATTCATTTCATGGACCTCCAATTTTTTTTCGCTGCCTTGCAGGTTGTCATAGATCCCTAGGGGTCGATATAGACCACTTTGGGAATCAATGATCTAGACCATTGTTACGGTTTCTGGATAACACGTCTACTTATGTTTGATAATCTAACTCACCAGTTTTGATATGTCTGTAACCCCCCAAGTTCGGCTTATTGATGGCCAAATTCAATACCTCAACCACTACTTCTTTAACTCCGTGTTCAGTTTCCACCGTTACAGTGATGATATCGGGAACTTGGATGTCTTTGTAAGGTGTATCAACGTTGATGGTGTATTTGTCAGAAAGGCAGATGAGTTTTAGCTCCAGATTGCCATATTGGTCCGGTTTCAGCCTAAGCAGATACAAAATTATTCTTCCGATAAACCTTTTTCTATAAATTTCTTGTAATTACAACAGACGCTCGATAATGTAAACTAATTTAACCCAAGTGTGGTTCACATTATCGAAATGTTTACATTAGCGAACGTGATTTATATAATATTTGATTTATTAAAAGAAACGTTTAATACATACTATTTATAACAAAATAAACAAATATTCTAACAGCGATAAGTATTTTTTTAATTAGAAGAAAAATAATTAACAATCTTTGTCTGCGTAAATTTGCGCTTAGCATTGTCTTCCAATGCCTGCGCCCGTAATTTACGAAGAACTAAAATATCCGTGTATGAAAGTTCTTTTCTTTCAGCCCAATCTAAACTTGTATAGTTTGCGCGTCAGTCACTACACTTCTGACTTCAATGGGATCGTTCTCATCATCCTCACTGTCCATATCCTCCTCTTTATCAGCATCATTCGTCTGCTTATCTTCGTTAAATAAATTAATATCAGCAGGAGTACAAACAATGTTGGGATTCACTGTTTTCAGTAAATCAACAACATCCAATGACACACTAATAACATTATCATTATTGGATCGCAAACGTTCTCTAATTACGCTTAAGGGGACATCGTCTTCTTCATCATCTTCATTATTGGTACAAAAGAGATTGTTCCAACATTTTTGAATAGTTTGCCGGTTAAGTTCATTCCAGGCCATATGTAAATCTAAAACGGCTTCTCGTAATGTTACTTTTTTTAAAGCCTCTGATAAGTTTTCAGGATTCTTTGATAAGACAGACGAAAGTAGAAACTTCCTATAGTATAGTTTGGTGAGTCTTATTATATTCTGGTCCGTCGGTTGAATTAACGGTGTTACGTTGGGCGGCATGTACATGACGAAAATTAACCCATCCCTGCTCCTCAGTTGTTGCTCGGGAAGATGACTTGGTGCAATATAAAATAGTAACAACGCTTTTATTGGAAGCTTCTGTTGTTTTAGGAAACCTTTTACCTACAAATTGAAAACACATCTTCAAATTATGAATAGAGCATTTGTGATAATTGATTGTCATACCTGAGGGACAAAGCACCTGTGGAACCATTTCAAGAATATACTGCTAGTCATCCAAGCGGATTTTGAACAGTCATAATCAACAGGGATATTAACATTTTTAAATGAGCGCGGATTTTTTGCTTTCCCAATTACCAGTGGCTTTATTTTGTGTGAACCATTAGCATTAGTGCAGGCTAGAAACGTTATTCGTTGTTTCTCCGGCTTTCTTCCCGGGGCAGATTTTTCAAATGATGCAGCATAGGTTTTCTCTGGTAACATTTTCCAATAAAGGCCACTTTCGTTGTAAATTTGTTCCATTCTTAAATGTAGCTCGGTAATTGTTTTCATCAATTTTTCTTTGAATGGTTGCACTAATTGTGGTTGTGCTGATAATTTTTCACCAAATATAGACAGCAGTCGAATTCCATGTCTTGTTTTGAATCGTTGTAGGCAGCCATCACTAGCTACGAAATTTTCAGTTTCTTTCAGTTTTTCATTTAACAGTCTCGCTCTCTGTTTAAGTACTTCGCCACTAACTGGGACATGATTTTCCCGTTGTTTTAAAAACCACTTATACAGGGAATTTTCCATTTTAGGTGCCTTCGCATTTTTTTAAGTTTTTCTTCTTCCCGGGCCTCCAAATGTATTGCACGTTCTTTGTAAAATTTGAGTTTTCATACGCTTAATTTTAAAGATTGTTGCTTTCGATACTCCATATTTTTTTGCTAATTGTGTCACTCCCGCACCTAGTGCAACTTCGTCTATGATTTTCACTTTCTCACTCAACTTTAAACACATTCTTTTATAGGATGTAAAATATATTAACGCGTGCAATGTCACTCAAGTTCAAAAATGAAATACATACGTACGTATAAACGTATCCTAAACGATCATACGACTGACCGAGTTTTTCGTATTTTATCGCAGAGGTGAATACCCTACACTCTACATCATAAATCGGGGACTCCCCGACGCCCGACATAAATCATCGAGGCTTCAGCATTTTACCGTCGCGCTGTTTCCGTGCGCCGAGAGTAGTTTACGTTATCGAGCGTACACATTGTTTACGTTATCGCGCGTTCCGTTTGATCCCATAGAACGAAGTTTGTGTTTACATTAACGCAAGTTTCCATTATCCTGTGTTTACGTTATCGAGCGTCTGCTGTAATTGGATTTGGGACCAAAGAAACTCAGTTTCCTGATATAAAGTTGACCTCACAGATAACGTATGATCTAAAAGTCATTGGCTTTAATTTTAACAAACACAAAATAATGTCAAGTTGCCTTGGGAAACAAAAGTTTGTTTACTTACTTTACTGTCAGTCGACATTTAATTACTTTCGCTTTAAGATGTATAGTGTAGTTTGGATGAGTATTGAGTTATGATTTAAGATAACTAGTTAGTGTTTAAATACATTTCTTTATTAAAAAAAATCCGATCAATATTTTGTGCCATAACTTTTAGGACATAAATAAAAATTCGATGAAACCCGACTCGATCCATTATGCTTAATCCAAATCAGCATATCTTATCCGATCAAATGCAAAGTTGCTCTAACCTGGATAAATTCCACGTATCCTCAACGCCCGCATCTTTATACTGCAACTCCAACTCTTCGACCGGGATCGCGAACGTCTCGCTGAGCGTCTCCTTGACCTCCAGACACGTCTCGTACAACGAAAACGACCTCGTATATACCTTCGAGTTGACCGTATAGAATTTCACGGTCACTTGGTCCTGCAGCTTGTAGTTATCGAAATCCACGGGTTCGATGCTGACCAGAACCTCTTCGATCCTCGCGTTCAATTCGTCCGCTTTGTTCTTGTCCATCGTGAGGTTGAGGACGGATCAAGAGGTCTTCTGCGGCGACAGGAAGAACTGTGTCAAGATTTGACACAGGAGGCATTGTTGGACAGACGTTGTGTATTGGTTGCTAGACAACGAAAATTCTGTGTTCGGTATTGATTTTTGGTGCAGTGATTAAGAAGTTTCTGGTGGTTTTATGTTTCTGTTATTGTTGAAAAGAGGAGAAGCGAGGAGTATGTACAGGGTGTCCCAATATTCCCTGGACATAGAAGTACCACGTATTTTTAGACTCAAAATCTGTGCCCCAGAGCCAGACTAGGTTAAGTCCATTTTTGTCAAACACGAGTTTAATATGTTAAGCTTGTGATAATATTGTGGAAGGAAGTTACGACTGTTTAACTCATGTCAAGTCGCATACAATACAATGAAATAAAAATACAATCGTCTCAAAACCCCTTATTTGGACATAATTTACGTTTATGTTTTCTTGTTAACGTTTTTAGATGTTTTTAGAACCAGTATTCCGATTTGAATTAAATTTGTTTTGCTAGACTTTCGAATATTTGACTTTTGTGCTGCTCGTCATCCGGAAGTTTTTGTGAATGTGCCTGTCCCCCGTTTCCGGCGTGACCGTCGACTTCAACGCCCTGTATAGTTCAGTATTTTTTTCAAAAGGTTTTAGGATTCTATATGCTGCAGATCACAACACGTAGAAGCAAACGTATCAGTTTTGGCTTACAAAATGGAAAAGAGTTGAGAATAATTTGAATGTAATCAGTGGCTTGTATAGCTACTCGGTGTTCTTTTCCTTAGTTTAAATCACTGCATTTAAAAATATGAAATATACAAATATACGATTTTAGAATAAAGGTTTGAGAAAAAGAAGAAACAATATAGTAAAAAAACGTGCAGTGCTTGATATTAAATGTTATAATATTTTTTTTAGTTGTTATTGACAAAATTAGAGTTATGAAAATATAATTAATTGATTTCTTACTATCATTGATTTTTTTGTTAATATCTCAATTTTTATATTGATCTTATTCCAAATTAATGAATCATACTTGATTGTTGGACTTTCCATTGCAGTAACAAAAACTATCAACTTTTTTGTTCGATTTGCTATTAAAGCTTGTTATTTTAGGGTTTCAGTTTTTGTATCAGAACGACTACAAAAGTACTTGTAATCAATTGTTATGATTTCTGGTATATTTTAAATTTAGATCCAGATTTTTCAAAATTTCCAAAATTTTTTCACAATTCGAAATCCTCAAATTATTTTCCTGATTTCCGAACTTTCCAATTGTTTTACAAATTGCAACAGTCGATTTTTTGTCCAAGATTACTGAATTTCATCGGCCTTTGACCCCTGTGCAAATTTTCAAACTAATCACTTCGTGAAATTGGTCCAAATTAGGTTGACATTTTGAATTTTTCCAAATTTAGAAATTTACATATTTTTCCAGATCTACAAATCTTGGCTATAGATGTTGTAATTGTCGGTAGGTGGTAGACGGTCTCTGACTATCGAACGTGAAGGTACCACCCGGCGGATCTCGTAGGCGAGGCCAGAATGTGTGCATGTTGGATGTGTGACCCCTGTACAAATTTTAGTTAATAATACTTCTTAAAATTGGTCAAAATTAGATTGAAATTTTCATTTTCAAATTTCGACATGTCAAACTTTACAAATTTTTCCATAGTTATCAAATCCTAAAATTATTTTCGGAATTTTCATAATTTCCAAATCCAATTCCAAATTTAAAAATTCAAGTTTTCAAAAAAATTCAACTTCTAATTTTTCAAGATTATTGTATTACCATCGGCCCTTGACACCCGTGCAAATTTTCAAATTAATCAGGCTTCTTGAAATTAGTCAAAATTAGGTTGAAATTTCCAATTTTTTCAAATCTCAGAATTCTCAAATCTTTTTAAAAATTTGAAATTTTTTTAAAATTTCTGAACCTTCTAATCAATTTAAATTTCCATATTTCCATTTTTTCAAAATTTCCAAATCCCAAATTATTTTCCAAATTTTCGAATCCAATTCCAAATTTCAAAATTCAAGTTCTCAAAAAAATTCAAATTCTAATTTTTCAAAATTATAGCATTACCATCGGCCCTTGACCCCCGTGCAAATGTTCAAATTAATCAGACTTCTTGAAATTAGTCAAAATTAGGTTGAAATTTCCAATTTTTTCAAATCTCAAAATTCTCATATCTTTTACAAAATTTGAATTTTTTTCAATATTTCTGAACCTTCAAATGATGTTCCAAATTTCCGAATTTTGCATAATTCGAAAATTCAAGTTTTTAAAAAACTTTGACATTCTATTTTTTTTTCAAGATTATTGCATTGTAATCGGCCCTTGACCTGTGTTTTCATTTTCAAGTTAATCAGACTTCTTGAAATTGGGTTGAAATTCCCAATTTTTTCAAAATATCTGAACCCTCAAAACAATTTAAATTTCCATATTTCCATTTTTTTCAAAACTTCCAAATCCCAAATTATTTTCCGAATTTTCCAAATTTTCGAATCCAATTCCAAATTTCAAAATTCAAGTTTTAAAAAAAATTCAAATTCTAATTTTTCAAGATTATTGTATTATCATCGGCCCTTGACCCCCGTGCAAATTTTCAAATTAATCAGACTTCTTGAAATTAGTCAAAATTAGGTTGAAATTTCTAATTTTTTAAATCTCAGAATTCCCAAATCTTTTTCAAAATTTCCAATTTTTTCAAAATTTCTGAACCTCCAAATCATGTTCCAAATTTCCGAATTTTGCATAATTCCAAAATTCAAGTTTTTAAGAAACTTTTAAATTCTATTTTTTTTAAAGATTATTGAATTGTAATCGGCCCTTGACCTCTGTTTTCATTTTCAAGTTAATCAGGCGTCTTGAAATTGGTCGAAATTAGGTTGAAATTTACAATTCTTTTTAAATTTCCATATTTCCATTTTTTCAAAATTCACAATTTTTTTCAAAATTTCCAAATCTCAAATTATTTTCCGAATTTTCCAAATTTTCGAATCCAATTCCAAGTTTCAAAATGAAATTGATGAATTAGGTTGACATTCTTCGTGACATAGAAACATACAGAAAAAGCGTGAAAAAAATGTGTAATTTTCCAAACTGATATAGAATAAAGAATTCTGACCAAATCCTGATACGCCAACATTATGATTATGAATCACAAACGATGTAACTGTATTCTTAAGACATGCTACACGATATATTGCAACATCAGCCATTCAATGTGAGTCAGAAGCAGCACGCATCTAACGTTGTGTTCTACTTCCCTTGTTATAATGAATAAAATATTGTTTAACAGATGCATATTTGCGCAATGTCGTTAAATAACTCTTAACAAGTGGGAAATAATTACGAGTCACGGTAATGTTCATTTCTTTGTCAGGTAATTATTAAACATTTTACCGACACCGTCGATAATAAATATTAACCATAATGATCTATGTAGATTACTGCCCATTTGATGGTTATAATATTTGGCATTGGCGCGGAAAAACAGACTCTTTTCATTGCATGTTGTCAGGCCCAACATTGTATCAAAAATTAATTGAAAATACCTTTTTTAATTAAAAATTGATTTTAGCTGTCTGTCCCGCGCTCGGGTTTTGATAAAATGTTCACTCAAGGTTACTACTATTCCGAGGATGAATAAGCTTCGTTGTTTTACGAAATCGGTCCACTGGTGGCGGAGCTAGGGGACAGAAAAACACAAAAAAGGAACACGAACAAAATTAAGATCGGGTCAAGGTCACCAAAGGTCAAATTCAAGGTCACCGTTGAATTCCTTGCTGAAAGTTGATCTTTTTCAAAAAATACCTCACCCGAGAAAATACCCGTTCCGGGATTTGGTCACGCTGTAGATGACTTCCATTTAGTGTCCAAAAAGTATACTAAGTGACATATAAATCCGAACACCTAGTTTAAATGGTTTTATTTCAATAAAATTTTGTATAAGTACTTAATGAAGCATAACAAGTAAATGATAAAAATTTCAAAATGATTGCACTGCTTTAAAGCCCTTTGACCTTTAATAATGTGTGGATGCACCCTGATGTGCTACGCATTCTCCAACGCGCCTAGGCATGCTTCTGATCAGGTGGCCAATGTCCTCCTGTGGTATCTCATTCCAGGCAACCACCAACTCCTCTCGAAGTGCTTCTAGAGTCTGAGGAGGACGTTGCAAATTGAGCAATCTCCTACCCATCATATCCCACACGTGCTCAATTGGGGATAAGTCGGGAGATCTTGGTGGCCATGGTAACAATGTGACATCATTATGTTGAAAGAAGTCTATTGTGACTCTTGCAACATGTGGTCGGGCATTATCTCGTTGGAAAGTTGGATCTGCCAGGGTGTCAAGATAGGGTAGAAGATGGGGTTCTAGAACTTCGTGGGTATCACGCTGCGCGTTCATGTTACCTCTGATGAAGATTAAAGGTGACCTGGAACCATAAGCTATAGCACCCCAAACCATAACTCCAACAGTGTGATGAACATGTCTTTCAACAAAAAACTGTGGATTCCTCCTTTCACCACGTCGCCTTCTAACACTGGCACGACCATCGTGCATGCCCAAACAAAATCGAGACTCGTCACTAAAGACAATACTGTTCCATTCCTGATCCCAGAGTGACCGTTGTCTGCACCACTCAAGGCGATTACGTCGGTGTTCTCGAGTTAAAGGGAGGACCCAGTGTGGCCGGTATGAAAACAAGCCAAAACTTCTCATTCGTCGGTAAACACTTCGCATGCCAATAGGTCTTCCGTGTTCTGCAAACCATTCATTTGCAATGGACCTGGTAGTGGAGAAACGGTCCCTTAAGGCCAATAATCTTAGGCGGCGATCTTCACGGTCTGTTGTTCTACGGCGGTGTCCAGTGCCCCTTGCTCTTTGCGTACGGCCTTCTCGAAGCCATGCCTGACAACACCTAACCACAGTGTCTACACTTCTTTGCACTCTAACTGCAATTGCCCGAAAAGAAAGTCCAGCTTCCCGAAGTCCCACTATACGGCCCCTATCAAACTCACTAAGTTGACGAAATCGTACAGGTCTCCGTACTTTAGGCATCGTAACCGATCATAAAGGATGTCAAGAACCAAAATCCGCGAACGTTGATTCTTTACTGCGGCTGAAATATTCATTTTTAGAGCGTTAGTGAATTAAAAAAAAGCAGTATAAAAACCGGAATGTCCAACTGATAAGGCTGAAAATTTTTTCACTTGTTATTTACAGTAAGATAAATACATTCACCAACTTTTATTAAAAAATAAAACCATTTAAACTGGGTGTTCGGATTTATATGTCACATAGTATAACTTTGACAACGTTGGGCTGGAAAAGTTAGACTCTATAAAAGATCTTGTATCATTTTTGATTCTAAATTATCGTTTAATTATCATATTGAACACGTTAGAAATTCAGCAATAAAAAAATATACTTCTTTTGACGAGACCTACAACCAGTTAAAATAAATTGCTCAACTTGTGCGTAGCTAACTTATCTTCTATTGTAGAACTAATAAAACATGCTTTGCCAGTTTTGTACCAGCTTGTCTGGAATTGTAGTGGAGTGGAAAGTTTTGAGTATTTCCCACCGCACGCCATTTTATATGAAG